ACCAAAAAGTTAAAATGTTAATCTTTCTCCCATTCTTCCCCTAAGGGGCCTATGGAGTTTAACCAGGGTAAATGTACATTAGGGAAAAGGCAATGATCTAGTATTTGGGGGGCTATTCAATACCATCTCTGAATTGACATTGATCCTGGGTGATTCAAAATGTCACTGTTATCCTCTAGTCAAAATAGGGACTTAGAGAGGTCAATGATTTATGGAACGTTAGCCAAGATTTGACTAAGAGTATGTTTAGTAGCTCCTGTAATGCATCTTGTGGTTGTTTACCCACTCCCAGCGTGCACATTCGGGATAGAAATACTTAGAATATTGGTTTTCTAACATGTGGATTGATGGTTATTAACGTGCAAGAAAGGCTAAATCGAAGCTGGTAGAACTTCCTTTGCTTGGGAGAATAGTAAATCAAAAACAATGCTGCATCACTGGTGGGATTACATGGATTAGTGGGACCACCACCAACTTGAAGTTCCTGCTACAGTCCCATTTAACTCCCCTTTTTGACCTGTGCCGAAGGTAGATGGATCTTGGAGAATAACAGTTCATTTTCATTAGCATAATAACACCAATAACAGCTGTTGTTGCAGATGTAGTTTATTTTCTTGAGCAGATTAGTACATCTCCTACTACCTGGTAAGTAGCTATTGATTTGGCAAATGCCTTTTTAACCACACCTATTTACAGGGCTTATTAGTAGTAATTTCCTTTCATCTGTCAAAGCCAGTAATACAATTTTAATGTCTTTTTTCAGGGGCATCAATTCTCCAACCTTGTTTTATAACTTAATCCACAGAGATTTTTTACAAAATGTCACACTGCTCCATTGCATTGATGGCATTAAGTGACCTGTCTTTGAGTCTCCTAATGTTTTCTTCCATATCATCTAATCATTTTAATTCCTCTATGAGATTTTTAATTTCAGTTATAAGACTATTCACCTCGATTATGTGATACATCTGCTACTTTGTATCTTTTCACTTAAATTCTCATCATTTTTCTTGCATTGTTTTTCTGACCCCAGTGAGTATCTTTGTGTTTCTTCTAATTCTTCATAAATCAAATATCTCTGCTTATTTCCTAAGATTTATTTTAATACTTTACTTGGAATATATTCCCCTGTTTTTTCATGTTATTTCACTCTCTCTGTTGTCTTCTATGCATTATATCACACAACTACTTCTCTCAATCTTGTCAGAATGGCCTCATATTATGTATTTCACTAATTTTTCCCCCCAAAGATTTTAAGCTATCTATCATATCTTTATTTTTTTCCAGAGGGCTGTCTCTTTTGTGGTTGCCCACTGGACCTTCAGATATGCCACATCCTGTTAGTTTCCTAAGACTGAAAATGAAGAAATGAGACATTCTAGATGTTACTAGAAAAGTTGGAGTGTTG